TAAAAATATTTTAAAATTTTAATTATTTTTTTAAAAAAGGAGGTGTACTTATAGACAAAAGGAGGTGTATATATCATGAACCAAAACTAAATTTTCTCCGGCCCGACTTGGCCCGAAGTCATTTGTGGCCCAATGAAAGCCTGGGTATCGTTGTGGTAATGACAAATGAGACAGGGCAAATGCGAATAAATGTGAATATTTATAAATTTAGTTTTTAGTTTTTTTATTTATTTTTTATTTTTTTCAATATGTAATTTTAATTTTTTATTTTGAAATGAAAATTTTAGTTTCTTTGTTTTTTAAAATAAAATTTTAAATAAAAAATAAAATAAGCTTATAATAATAATAATTTTAAACTATATTATAACATATTTTATTAAGAATAAATGACTAAATTATATTTTGATCTTTTAAAAAATAAATAACTAAATTACACTTTTAAATCATGAAAAGAAAATCTCGCAAAGATTGCTAAGTGCTATTTATAACACAACATACAAAATATGCTTGATGTATTGCCTTAGCACTAACAAAAGGAAATAAAAAATAATGTTTATAGTTTTGCTTATCTTTTGAAATGTACATTGATTTGTTCTAACGATGCGGGATATAAATTGTATCCCAACATTTTTCCTATGTAAACCCCTATTTTAAAAAATAGGAAATTATAAAACAGTGAAGATAAAAATTGGATAACATTTTCACCATGGATTATTAATTCCTAATTTTTTATGTACTATAGCATAAGTTATGTTGTGTATATCATAGCTTCAATGCTTAATTTGAAAATATAAAACAGTGAAGAAATTAGGGTGCGTTTTTAACATTCAAATAAATGCAAACTAATGTCTGTACTAAAATTGAATTCAATCAACTACAAATCTAGATGTTCTGCTACACACATAACTGTAATCTCAAATTCAAAATTTGTCTAGTAAATACAATGATGACAAGAAACAATACGTACACAAATGGCAAAGCAACGCTTGAAAAAATAACTAAAAGCATAAAACTTCTGATTAGTCATGACAGTTGATTTGTGATTATGACAATGTCGAGAGCATAAATTGTGTTTAAGAAAATAATTAAGCAAAGTACCATGGATTTCTTATAGGACTGGCTTTGATTAACTTAAATTAAATGTGGGCACAATTAAGACAGCTACATCATGTGCTGCACTTGTCTTAAGCCGTTCCCAATTTAACGAAATCCTTTCGAACTTGAACACGATGGAAGAAGGAAGCTTTGATGCACGTGTTTGAAAACTGTCATCCTGTGACTAACATCATGTGATAGTAGTGGCACTTGCTTGTTACTATCTGAGATTCTGGGTTTAACACGCCGATAGAACTTGTATTGATTCCAGACATAGCAAGAGAACTTGCATTATTATTTTTATTATGAGTTAATCATCAATACATTATTACTGAAATTTTTTTACATGAACAATAAATTATATTTTTTAAAGTTGTTTATTTTATTATTATTTCATTAAATAAGCAACTGACATGACAATATTAAAATATATGATTGTTGCCAGTGTAAAAAAATTTTATATTAGCAGTGTATAGGTGATTAACTCTTTTATTATATATATGTTATTTTTTAATTTCAATTAAAATTTATAATCTATTAAAATATATATTTTTAAAATTTCTGTACTATTATTTTTCTATGAGGCTAACTAAGCACATGTAGTATTAATTATGACATTTATTAGTATTTTTTATTTATTTTTAAATGACATTTTAACAATAGATCAATATTACTTAATTTTAAATGTAGGAGACCAAATTTTTTATAAAAAAATTCAGGGTTGAAAATTGGACATTCACAAAACTATATAAAAAAAATCGAGTTAAACTCTTTTTTAGTCACATTATTAATAAAATTGTAAAGTAAATGAATAACCCATTTTGTTTGGGACATATCACTCTTTCTTACAAGGAAATTAAACTATTAAAATTATATAAATAGTTTTTAAAGTATTGAAGAATAACTATTGTTTATATATTAAATATTTTTTTACTTATGGATTAGTGTTATCTTTAAACTTAGAGACACAATTAATAGAGGTTTAATTCTCATCTTTCGCATTATGACATTTTTTTCTTCTTGTTTTTAAGATACAATTATTACATCAACAAAAATGGTTAGATTTTTAATAAAAATTTGACAAATGACTAAAATTATACAACTAAGTGTTCAAACTAAAAGTACATTTAAATCAATTTAATATTATTGTATAAAACATATTATCTATCATAATATGTATTAAATAATATATATTATTTGTATAAATGTGTTGTATTTACCAAGAGACTTTTCAACTTTTTTCTTTGTGCACTAGTGTAAAAAAAAGTACTATGTGATTATGTATTAAATGATATATATTATTTGTATAAATGTGTTTTATTTACTAAAAGAATTTTCAACTTCTTTTCTTTATGTATTAGTGTAAAAAAAACAAAACGGTGCCTTCAAGTATTTTTTAAAATTCCTAATCAATATAATAAGAAGAGATATCCCATTAATTAAATAAAAGCCCCTAAAGTAACTAAATTACTTATAAGAATTATGCTTATTTGGCAAACATTATTATAAAGATCAAAATGCTACAATATACATAACACAACTAAATAAGCTTGATTGTTGAACTAAAAGATGTCAAACAAATAAGTGTGTGTTTGGAAAAAAGTTGAGTTCAATTTAATCAATTTTAACTTCAAAACAATAGCTTGGTTTTTGCATTTTATGTATTGGAAAGTGAAAATATATGTTTCAAAACTTTCAAACAGATAATCAAACACATTCTTATTTGAACCAACGAATTTTTACCCTTTTGTTCTACACAAGATATATGTTCCCATTGAATTCATCTTAGGGCACCTGTATTATCTTTTAATAGATGTGTCGTCTAAACTAAACTCTACACCTGATAATGTCTTCCACCCGAATTGACCAACCAAAGTCGGCCTTGGTTCCAAAAAAAGGAGTAGTGCCTTGCTTTGGATTTATAAAATAAGTAAAATAACATTAAAAGTAGTGATATTCTACTTTCATTGTTTCCACTTAGAGATGACAAGTAAATATGAATTTATATGTAATATCCGAACTCACTCCAATTTTGACGCCAAATACTCGATTTGATTAGCACAATTACGAGTAATACTTGATTTATTACACTAAGTATAGAGACGAGGATGATCGCACTTTAAATTTGTATAAGTTTAATTTACTTTTTTTAGAATTCATTTGAGATTTATGTAATTTTTATTCTATTTTAAATTTATATCAAATGAAACTTAATTAATATAATTTTATATTTTCTATTTTATGTTAAAGTTTTTATTTCTTTTACAATTTTTGAATTGTACAAATATATTTAATACTCGATGAGATCAAGGATAAAAACTTAGGGACGAAGAAAGATATATTATTGAAATCTTCACCCATTTGATTGTCATCCTATTCCACCTCCTACTTAACCTCAACCTCTCAAGTCATTTCACAAAGTCTAATTAGATCAAGCTCAACAAGATTTTCTTTTCCCCTAATTCCGCCTAACTTGTTCCCTTCACTATGATTTTGGAAAGTAGACAAGTTGTTAGTTAACTGTAAAGCGATTATAGATCGCAAAGAAACAGTACATTACAGTTGCAGGATGTGAAATTGCAAAAGAATTTAATATTATATTTGATAAAATAAAATTACTGTATTGACACTGCGTTAAAAAGAATAGAATGTATGATTCCTGTGATGAACAAAAGAGAAAAAATAATTAATAAATGTGTAAAAAATAAAATCAAGACGTAGCAGCTTAAGATATGCATGTAATTAAATAAATACATTATTGTCATCTATCTCCATTTCACAAAGTTATCCTTTCTTTGGAATTAGAGTCAAACTTAATGATATTTTGAGATTTAAATACTTTATATGAGATATTGATGATCTTTAATGTCGCACTTTAACTAAAAATAGGGAATGATGGATTGTGGGAAAACATGTTTCAAAATCATTTTGAATAATTAAAATATTAATTTAAATTATAAAATATTAAATTAAATAATTATTTTATAATAAATTTATTAAAAATATTAATATTTTAATGTTTTGGACGACGATTCAGATGCTGCAACATTGCTACTAAAAATATGACTAAATAACCGATCTTAACAATATATGCGAGAGATTGTCGGTCGACGGAACTTAACCACGAGTGTATAAAATCACATTTTTCACCACGTGATACATGTTGCAACAACAAAAAGTAATTTATGCGTTTATAACACTTCATGATGTGACATTTGAGCTAAATACTTATGTAACGATTTCACCAAAAATAGTTGAAAAAGTCTTCACCCAAAAAAAAATACTTATGTAATGAATGTGTGTCCAAACGGATAAGGATCATCTACAATAACCTGCAAAAGGTGCAGTTTTGAATCTCTTCGTTAATTTAATTTAATTGTAAACTGGCCAGATTGGTGCAGTTTCATCCATAACTGCAGAGGATCAAAATCCGTGTCGAAACGTACACTAGGAAACATGTTTGGATTGCCCTTTAAGAAAAACTAAGAAGCAGCGTTGGAATATTTTTCGGAAAACTTACTTTATGTTTAGATTAACGTATACACGAACACACACTAGTAGGTTTCTCAACGAAAAAAGTAGAGTAATAACTAATTGCTTGCTAACAATGGTGCGTTAAACTCCTCCCAACGAAAAAGTACCAAAATTGTATGCAGTGTTCATAACATAGAAGGCATACTGGACAATATCAGTATCCAAATAAAAATCGCATTACTGCATATTCACGTGTACTTAAAATCAAATTTATTAAATCAATAATAGGAGTCCAAACACGCACTTAGTTGCTTCATTTCAGACTGAGACATACGCACAGGGAGTATTGGACGCGGAACCAAATGGGATTAAAGATCATAAATCGCCAGGCCAATTGCAATTCAAGAGATGAACACAGGAATATAAGGTACAACTCTTTAATAGAGTAACATTGTTACTTAGGCATCATTTTATGAACTTCATTCACAATATAAGTACATTACACAATTATTTACGGATGTTAAGTACGTAAGCAGTCATCTTCAAACAGCATACTCAATTTCAGGAAGAATTGGCGGGCACAAATTTGAGTGAAATGCTATTGACACAATGACGTTCGTTAGTGGGTGTTGGAAATCCTTCACCTTTAAATACGTGACCTAGGTGTCCTCCACAAGCAGCACACGTTATTTCTGTCCTCATCCCATCAGGGTCCGGCTGATAATAGTACATGACAAGGTTATCAATTTTTTACACAATCTTTGCCTTCAGATAGCACTTGTTAAGGAATCAAAATAAAAGCATTTAAATAAAAAGGTACAGTTTTTTAAGATTCCAAATTCCAATATATTAGTTGTTATTTAGTGTTGTTCTCCCATCAAAACTAAAGTTTTTCATCAATAATTCATGTAATAATGATTTAAATTAAAAGTTAATATAAGTTGTCAAGATGAAACTTCAATCTGATGGGAGAACAGTATCAAAAATACCTAAGAAACTACATCTAAGTTGGTTGTATATTAAATCCTCTACTTTTCATTCATTGATTCCTTAACGAGTTTTCTTAATAAGACACTTGTTAAAAAGAGTCTTTAGATAAAACTAAGAGCGAGAGAACTTACATTGCGATTTATGGCTCCAGGAAGACCCTCATAGAAGGCTGGCCAGCCACAACCAGAATTGAATTTTGTTATGGACCTGTAGAGAGGCGTTCCACAACCAGCACAGTTGTAAACTCCCTCGCTAAAAAACTTGTCATACTCTCCTGTTCCAGGAAACCTGAATAACACAAACCATTTTCTTACGACAGAAACAGAAATTCCGATCTTGAACAGAACTAGTCAATATCTTCAAACTAACTCTAATGCCGTGGATTTTATTACTAATAAGTAATAACTACTCCACTTTATGCATCATCCCTCAGTTTTTCTCTGAACATCTTAAGCAATCAAAGTGCCAAGAATCATATATGTGAGGCGTCAGGGTGATCACAGTACAGGACCCTAAACTAATAGACAACAAACATATTCTCTCTAATGCAAACACAAGCAAACGAACACACTTGAGAGGAGTTTAATTTACATTACTGCTCCAATTAGCTAGGACAACACATTACGCATGGCCTCTAACTATTGTGATCATAAAAGCTAATGAGCAATGACCATAATCATTATTTTTTTTAAAAAAAATTGCGTGATCGCAAGCCCTATTTATCTGCAATTTTCCACCACAACCGGCAATTTAAAACCAAACAATGATATTTGGACACCTTTTATTTACAAACACCCCATCAAGACCCACCGATTCCCTCTATCTGTCTCTTCCCATCAAATCATATCGCTTAATATATTTGTATTTGTTTTTTTTATTCATTTACATAGGTGTCATACAGGTTGTTTGGTGTCCAACATTCATTTTTGTGTAAAACCTTCAACGCAATAATGGTTTATTTGTAATTTACGTACAGCAGTAAATGAAATTGTAAAATGAAACCTTCCCTTTATAACCAAGGGGAAAAAATCCACTTTGGGTAGTGATACATAAAGAGTGACACTTTATCATTCCAACCACCTCTTTACCTATCATTTCTCAATTTTTTATCTTCTTATTCCATCAATATATATCCTCTATGTAGACAATTTTGTTCGACCAATAAAACTACTATAGATGATAAAACTTTCCTTTCAAATATTAAAAATTTAACACAATTAGATACTCAAAACTCGACCTCATACAACAATCTCATAATTGATCCACGTGCCGGTTAGTTATGAGTTCATTAATATTGTATAAAGGGAAATCCCGACGAAGAACACAAAGAATCGGAAAAGCTTCACATCGGCAAGATTACCCACTATCCCCGATTAATTCATCCACATATTTTGGAAGCTTAATTAAGAGAAAAGAGAAGTAAGAGTCTTACTCGGTGCCCTTTTGCCTGAGAATCCGAAACTGTTGAGGCGAGAGAATTGCGCGCCACTCTTCCTCGGACTTTTGGAGCGAGCCAGGTGCGGCCATGGCGACAATCCCGCGGCGAAAACCGCGCTTGGGTGAGACAGAAATGGAAATAGTGGGAGAAGCAATGGGCTTTGTGGGGAAAATAGTGGAGAAAGATGTGGGGTGGTGAGAACGAAGGAGAGATGAGAAAATGGACTTGGATTTGGATTTGGTTGAACAGAGTGAGAGAGGAGTAGAAGTGCTTCTCACAATATTGAACCCCATGGTGAAACAATGCACCCTCACCTTCTGCAGATTATCACTATTTATTTACCGTTTCATTATGTTTTCCTCGGTCGTTTCATTTCATCATTTCGGATTAGATTTTTGTATTTATAAAAGTGTAATTTTATAAGTGTAATCGAAGGTATATTGTCTACATAATTATTAAATAGTGTATGCAGATGTATCATTTTTTATATTTTTAATATATGTGGAATTTTGTAAGTTTTAGGTGGAGAGAGTAATTTTGTAAATCTGCTACATAATTCACTATCATGTTTAGTTTGTCTTTATAGTGTTTAACGTGATTTTAATTAAGGATTCTTTGTCATACTCATGTTGGGTAAGATTGGTGACACTAAGTGTAGGGAGAGAGAATTGTCTCTGACTTGCTCATGTTAAACATTAAGTTGAATAGTATCGGGTGTGAAAAAAGAGAATCCTCTCTACTTTGACTGGCGCTAGATGCCAATGGAATGACACTAGGTGTGAGTCAGACAGAGATTCTACTTGAAATGGGGTTGGATGTGGAATTTGACCATGTTAGGCATGAATTTCTAGGGGTTCCCCACCTCATCCATGTCAAGCATGAGCAAGATAGAGAACTTCCTATCTTAATGACACTAGGTGCAAGTTGAATGGTATTGTGCGTGGATTGTCTTGTGAAAACTTGTTTTATTGATAAAATGGCAAACACTAATAGGTTAGGTGAATCTATCATGTTACATATTGTTTAATGTCGTTAGTTCTATATTCATTGATATGGAATAATGCATGTAGATAAATAATTGTTGAATTGTTGAGATGTGATGCTGAAAATGCTTTAGGCATTTAGGCATGATATATTGGTTAATTGTTGAACTTTTGAGGTATGATGTTGAGAATGCCTTAGGCATTTAGACATTATTTGTTAATTACCTTGGGATTAAAGGAGATGGTGTTTTCGAAATATGGATATCCCATTGTGAAAAATATTGGTGTGGTGCTCAATAAACCTAGTTTTTGAAAACCTTTATTGAGTAGCTAACTTTTGAAGTGGATAGTTGAGTCTCCTTTATGATCTTAATTGATGTAGTATGTGTGTCAAATTGAGGCATACATGTTATAAGTAATCGATGTTGATCCATATATGTACAAGGTCAAAACATACATGTATAAAGTGACTAATTGAGTAATGTACAAGGTCAAGGACTTGGTTCCTAACTGAGTACTAAAAGGACATGGTATTTGGAGCAATGAACTAATCTCATAGAGGGCTTAATGTTGTAAGCTAATATTGTGGTAGACTCATATTCAAAATGTTATACCTTAGCAATAATATTAAACTTCATAGCTTAAATGATGACATATGAGATTGTGTAAAAAGATTGTTTTGATTCGGTATGATAAAGTAATTTAGACCGCTCACATTTGGTATAATATAGGTGAATGTATAATACAAATGTAATTAAGATGTTGTGCATATGATGTGGTGATTTTGGTGTTGTTCATATGTTGGTAGGTTCGGTTTGGTTGTTGGATGCCATTGATTGTTTACCCTTTTAAGTTGTTGAATGCCATGTTGAAATGTATTTGTTGTGGTGTTGGAATATTGTAAATCATGAGATGTTGTGTGTGGTTTACATGAGATCATGGATAATATAGTTATTTTACTTTTATACTTACTATATGTTTATTACTTGATACACTAGTCCACCCTTTCATGTTTCCTGGTGGTTGAACTGCGATAATCATGTTTACGCGAAAACATGACAAGATTAGACTAGAGACACATTATATAAATGTAAATAAATATACGAAATACCTCGACACATCTAATATATATATATATATAAATGTGATAGTTTAATTTAGTATATACATTATTTTTAAATAATGATAAAAAATTTATTATTATAAAGGTAAAATTTAAATTTAAAATCTTTAAGACGTGAAAATCGAATATAATATTAATAATATAAAAGTATGAAGTGCATTGATCTTACTAATAAGAAATATAAATAATGAAAGAATAAAAAAAATTAGAGAGAATAGAAATGATGGAGAGAGCCAAAGATATTGCTTACCGGATAGATCCATATCCAAATGGTCTTAAGTCAAATAAACGAGGAAGAAACCAAAAACGTTTTAGGACAACATATAAATATCAATATCCAATTTAGTTTCTACAATTTTTCAAATATGTCAAGTCATTTTCTGCATCAAGCGTTGAACTATTTTCAAGCCTTAAAAAAAGTTGTCCACAGAAGTCTCAAAATAAAAAAAATTAATAATCCAATAGAAATATTAAAATATATCAAAAGTTATATTATTTATTTAAAAATACATGCATTACTTATAAAACAATACTTCATGACTAATAATATTTGTCAAAAATAATTATCTAAATTAAAAAAAGAGACACTTTGCATTTATATATACTTTAAAAAAAGTAAAAAAAAAATAATAAAAAAGATAACGGAATAGGTGATTATTATTTTTAAAAAGAGTAATTATTATTTTTTAAAAGGATAGTTATTATTTATTTTGTTCGTAATTATATATTATGAAAAATTAAAATATAATATAAGAGTATAATTATTTTAAAGAATAAATATTAAAATAAAATATTTCTTACATATATTATTATAGATAACGT